TAATGAAAGTAGTGAAGAAGAAAGTTCAGAATAATGGAAAAAGGATGGTTAGTATTAATGCAGATAAAATTCATTAAAAAAAAATATTGAAAGAAACTTCATAGGACAAATGATAACTTTAAAAAGAGTAGAAAATTTGTTAGAAGAAATATTAGGAGAAGATTTAAAAGATAAAAGTATGAAAATTTATTATTATCATTTATTATATAAGGATGAAATATGGTAGCAGTTTATATAGAAACTTATGTAGAATATAAACCTAATAAGATGGTAATACAAAAAATATTTATAGATAGCGGAGCAGATATATGTTTAGCTAACAAAGATGTAATAGTACCATACCGATGGAAAAAATCAAATAGACATAGAATAAAAGTCTTAGGATTAATGAACATAATAAAGAGTTAGAAGTAATAGCTGAAGATGTAAAAATTATATTAGATTTAATATTTAAAATACCAATAGTATACCAAGAAAATAATATGAAACATCCTTTATTATTTTAGGAAATAATTTTTTAGACTTTTTCAAAACACAAGTAACAAATATTGAGACATTAAGCCTATTAACACCATGTAACAAATGGGTAATATTAAAAATAATTTTACCAATAAATTTCCTAAAAATATATAGCATTAAAATAGACAGAAATAACAACTTAGAACAATTAAAACAAAAATATTTGGAATTATTAAAAATAAATTTTGGAGAAAATCCTATCACTTTATGGGATAAAGAAAAGATATATGCTGATATAAAATTAATAAATCCAAATGATATTATAAGAAGTAAACCTATAAGATATAGTCAAACTGATCAAAAAGAATTTGAAATACAAATAAAAGAATTATTACAATTAGGGATAATAAAAGAAAGTATTAGTCCACATAGTAGCCCTACTTTCCTAGTAAGAAAACATAGTGAGCAAAAAAGAGGAAAAGCTAGAATGGTAATTGATTATAGGGAGCTAAACAAGAAAATAATATTTGATGGATATTTTTTACCATATAAAAGAAATTTAATAAACAGAAAGCTAGTAAGAACTGGTTTAGTAAATTTGACTGTAAAAGTGGACTTTGGCAAATAAAACTCACTAAAGAAGTACAACCTTTAACAGCCTTACAGCCTTTAGTGCCCCTCAAAGACAATATGAATGGAAAGTATTACCTTTTGGATTAAAAAGAATGCACCACAAATATGTCAAAGGAGAATGGATCAAGTCTTTAGAAATTTAAATGAATTTTGTATAGTATATGTAGATGATATTTTAATATATAGCAACACTCTAAAAGATCATGTAGAACATTTGAATGAATTTATTAAAACTGTTAGAAAACATAGAATCTTATTATCTGAAAAGAAATCTGAGATATTTAAAAATAAAATTGAATATTTAGGATATATAATTTCAGAAGAAGGATTACAACTACAAGAACACATAGTAACAAAAATAAAAGATTTAAAGAAAAATTAGACAATAAAAAAGAAGTACAACAATTTTTAAGAATAGTAAATTATGCATCAGATTATATTAAAGATTTACCAACACTTAGAAAATCCTTACAAAGTTTAATTAAAAAATCTAATATATTCGACTGGAAAGAAGAACACACTAATACTATTAAAACAATAAAACAAAAAGTAGAATCTTTACCAAAATTAAGGTTACCAGAAAAAGATGATCAATTAGAATTGTATACAGATGCTAGTGACATATGATGGGGAGCAGTATTAGTATCTTATACTAAAGAAGATATAGATAAGGAAAAATCTTTAATATGTGGATATAGATCAGGAACATGGAAGCCTAATGAACAAAATTATCATATAAATGAGAAAGAAGTATTAGCAGTAAAATTAGGAATAAAAAGATTTCATTATCATTTATTACCAGTAAAATTTGTAGTAAGAACAGATAATGCTCAAGTAAGAGCCTTTATTATGAATAAAATAGATCCTTTTCCAGAATTAAACAGAAGCAGATATTGGCAATCTTTCTTTTGTTATTATGATTTTACTATTAAACCCATATCTGGAACTAAAAATGTTTTAGCTGATTTTTTGAGCAGGTACAAAAATGTCAAGTAGTAAAAGTTTCAATGAAAAAATGAATAAAGCTATAGCAGAAATTACTGAAAAACATGAACAAATCTTAAAATCTTTAGCAGAATGTGGAGAGCTTTTGGCGGAAGCCAATGTCCCGGGATCCCGGGAACTATTAAAATATTAAGAGAGTATAAAGAAGAACCTATTATTAACTCACCTGTAAAAACTGTATTAAAACCTTTAAAACTTTTTCATCAAAATTAATTAACCAACCAGAATCATCCACCACTACAAAAACCCCTTTTACCATAGCAAACAAAATTAAGTACCCCTCACAAGTAATAGATGTCTATGATGTAATAAACAAATTTTATGAATATAAATCTAATGATACTATATTAAGAGTAGGAAAATTAAAAAAATATCCTAGGTTTTTACGCACTAAAGAAGCAAACCCTACAGCAGTATATAAACTATTTACTTATGGAATTATAGATAAAATAATAGTAAATGAAAAAATGTACAATATTAGCAAATTACCAACTATAATAGGAGACTCACTTTTGAAAATGATGGAAACATATGGAAGTGGAACATTTGGAATACAATTTTTTGATGCATCTACAGACTTATTAGGAAACCCCATAGTAATATGTCAATTATTTAAAATAAGAAGAAATACTACAATAGAAGGAGATAATACTAGTCTAAATATGAAAATCTCTTGCACCTTAGAAAAATTTCAAGAATGGATGAGTCAAAAAAGGGCATGGGGAATATTAACTCTAAAATCAAGAATTGAAGATATGTTAAGACATAAAAGAACTAGTGTAATAGGACATATTAAAGGAGGAGAAGTGGAAGAAATAATAACCTTATATATTATAATAATTTTGAAGTAATAACCAATGATCCAACTGATTTATTAGAAATGCATAATAAATTAATAAACTTAAAACATCAGCATGATCCAGCTACTATCGAGTTCAATACAACTGTGATCGAGCAGAGGAAAAAACAAAATACTCCCAAGGCAAGTCCGAGCTCTGGAGATCCCTTTTGAAGGAGCTGAGGATGTATTATCTTACCTGATGTAATATTGAGTGTATTATCAAGTATTATTATTAACTGGCCCAATGTAGCCTAAAAACTACAGTAAGCCAACGGTTCTCAGCCCAGCGGGCGTATTAACAAATTATTATCAAAATATTATCATGGTTCTGTGGCCCAAGTGGCGTATTCAAAGTATTATGGTTTTCTGACCCAAGCGGCGTATTATCACAAGTTTTCTGGTCCAATGGACGTATCAACAAAATAATATCAGAAGTATTAAATCTGTATTATCCAAGTTACTACTGATGGAAACTCAAAATTAGCAAGTATTAAAGGAAGGAATCCCAAGAGAAGAAATATGATCAACCAAAAACAAGTTGCAAAATATTATCAAATAAAGATCAAGAAGAAATGCCTTATCATCAAAGGAGGAAGAAGACAAAAATGCTAGAAGACAAAATGTAAGGAGAAAGAGATAAAGACCCTTTAGTAGTTATCTTATTATTGTACTAGTGTGTAGCTAGTTTGAAAGCTTTTCATGTAGTAGTTATCTTATTATTGTACTAGTGTGTACCTAGTTTGAAAACTTTTGATGTAGTAGTTATCTTATTGTACCTAGCTTAAAGACTTTTCTTGTAGTAGCTATCTCTTAGGAGTTGTAAAAATCTTGTAATTTTCCTACGAGGTTTTCTATATAAGGAGCCTCTTTGTTTAATAAAAGTATCAGATAAGTCATCAGTTGAGTTCTTTTCTTCAAAAAATCCTTGTTTCTTTTTTCATGGCCTTCTAAACTTTCCTTCTTCTATAACCAACTATCAAGAGTATAAACATATTACCCAAAGAAGAGAAAAGCTCTAGAATAATTATTAAACATCTGTTAGCCACACTCCATATATTGTGTAGAAATATTAGGAAGATCTGTTGAGGACTCCCAGCTTCTAGCCTATCTCCCGTGGTGTTGAGTGAACAGTAAAGGGAACGGAAGGGCAGGAAGGGTTGAGTATTCGGTGACCTGATAAGTCTGCACAAGGTATTAGTTAAGCTAACTTTGTTTGATAATTCTTTAGGAGTAATATCTGAAGGGGTATGTTGTTTAGAAATTGATGGGAGGTTATAGAATTTTTAATTCAATGAAAAATGATCTCTACGTTGAAGATTACTTCTGCCTGCAACATCTTGAAAGTATTAAATAAAAATAATCACTTATCCACCTTTTTTAAGGTATAAAAGATCTTGGAAAATATTAAAATGGAATATAACAAAGAAGCTTCAACTAGTAATAATTCTGAAAGCTTTAAACAGTGGGATAAATTTATTAATAATAAGAATAAGCTAAAACAAGAACAAAGAGATTGGTATCAATTAGGGAACTATCATATAGCCAAATATATACCATGTGAAAATCTATCATTATGATAAATGCAAACAAACAATAAACAATATAAATAGAATAGATAAAAAAGATATTAGAATATTTGATGATTCAAGAAGTTACTTTATCATTATTCGGAATTTATATTTTTTTTTTATCAACTTGAAAAACGAGCAGTAGAAAAAAGAAGAGAAATATTCACAAGTCTTATAGAAAAATTCAAAAATTTAGAAAAATTTAAACATTTAGAATACCCATATTAAAATTAAGAGTAGTAAGGATGAATTCAGAGCTGGAAAAATTATTAAAGTACTTGATAAAGGAATAAAAGTAAACAAAGAAGTTTTAGTAGAAATAAAAAGGACTTATGAGAGGATGTAAGAACTCAATCGTGAAAATGCTCCGCAAAGTTCGCAATCCTTGATCGCACTTTCCGATCACCTTCTCCGATCGTGGCCATCTCTCGATCGTGGTGTGAGAGATTATTCTCCCTAGGGCTCTAGGGTATCGTATATATCTCCATCCCCTGATGGCGTTTATATGGATCATTTATATTTTCTGTGTCTATCTTGTTATTCCGAATCAAGACGGCAATTTCCTGCATCTTGTGCCGAGCCGATCTGCAACGATCATCATGGATGCCCGTTCCCTGGAGCAACAATGTTCGGAGCTCTCTCTGGTTAAAGAGGAGACGGGGGGATTGGAGGCGCCGGAGCTACAATCCGTACCTGATGCGGCGATCCACCACAACCTCGTAGGGCGGTTTCTCACCGACCGCCCGATCAAGATCGATCATATGCAACAAGTGCTGGCGTCTGTCTGGCGTCCGGTCATGGGCATGTATGCGGTAACTCTTGCCGATGACCTGTTCCTGTTTCAATTTCCCCACCCGAAAGATTTGCAACGTGTGATCGCCGACGGGCCTTGGGCATTCGACAACCAATTGTTGGTATGTGACCAGGTCCCGCCGGGAGTCAGACCGGAGGATGTAGCGTTGGATTCTATTCCATTTTGGGTCCAGGTCCATGGCCTGCCGGGGATGTATGCATCCCCCAATTTCGTAACTAAGATCGGCGACTACGTCGGGAAGTTTATCGCGGCGGACCCCCTCAACTTTGGAGGGGCTTGGAGAAGCTACTACAGGATTAGAGTTCGGATGGACATATCGGCACCACTGAAGCGTCGCATGAAATTGGTGCGCCGAGATGGGACATCCCAGTGGATCACATTCCGGTATGAGCGCTTAGGCACATTCTGTTATTGCTGTGGGATTCTTGGACACTCAGACAAATTCTGCAAGGTGGTCTATGAGCAGGGTATATTGTCGGAGGCATTCCCCTTCGGGGCATGGCTACGGGCAAGTCCAAGGAGGCAGGTGAAGCCGGTAGGGGCGCGGTGGCTGCTGTCCATTTCATCACAACCTACGGTGGCAGAGAACAGCCCCACTGCCGGACTTCTCCCAGCAGACATGGTGGCGACGACAGAAAGCGATGGGCTGCAGGATGAGCTTAAAAGGCGCCGGGAGGAAATGATACGAACTGATGCTATGCCGGCATAGGACGTGCAAATGACGGAATCGTCAAAAAACCTGGAAAAGGCGGGTCTGGTGGACCAGGCTCGCCCAGCACAATGAGTCTGATCAGTTGGAACTGCCGGGGTTTGGGTGGCACCCGGACATTTCGAGAAATCTTGGGCATTGTGTCCAAGCAGCGACCCATGTTCGTCTTCCTGATGGAGACGAAAGCGAGTAGTACTTTGGTGGAACAAGTGCGTGTGAAGCTGGGATTTGAAGGAGCATTTTGTGTGGATCGTGTTGGAATGGGAGGGGGACTCGCATTATTCTGGCGGGACTCAGATGTTGCTAATATTCTGAGCTATTCTATCAACTACATTGACGTGGAGGTCACTATTCCGGGGAAGCCGAATTGGAGGCTCACATGCTTCTACGGATAACCGGACAGAACTCGCCGTCAAATTACATGGGATCTTCTGCGCCAATTGAAGGAGCGATCTCCTCTACCTTAGATGGTAGTGGGCGATTTTAACGACATCACCTGCCTATCAGAAAAGAGGGGGATTCACTCACACCCGGCATCACTATTAGAAGGTTTCAATGATGTGCTCGAAGACTGCCAATTGAATGATATGGGCATGACAGGGGGCCGGTTCACTTGGGGAAAGGGCCGAGGGACTGATGCGTGGGTGGAAGAGAGGTTGGACCGAGCTGTAGCAACGACGAACTGGCTGGAGGTATATGATGACGCCAAGGTCAGCAACATTTATATGCGCGAATCAGACCACTGTGCGATCCTGGTTGATGTCGAGGCGCGGCCCGTGCGTGCAGCGTTGCGGGTCTTCCGTTTCGAATCTGCATGGCTTTTAGAAGAGGGGTGTGCTAGGGTGGTTGATGAAGCCTGGCGAATGTCCATGGGACAAAATTTTCAGGATCGGCTCGCGATCTGTGGTTAACGTTTATGGCAATGGGGTGGGGAGCACTATCGGCGGTTTGGCAACAGAATAAGACAACTTCGTCAGACTTTGGCCCGATTGAAGGAGGACCGTACTAGTGCGGCGGTGGAAGAGTTTATAGCAACTGAGGGGGAACTGGATACACTCTGCCGTGCCGAAGAAATATTCTGGAAACAGAGGTCAAAGCAGCTCTGGTTGAGGCACGGGGACGCCAACACAAAATATTTCCATAAAGCCGCAACGGAACGACGTAGGCGTAACACGCTTGCCCGAATCAAAGATCAAACAGGTGGATGGCTAATCGGAACCGCAATGCACGCGGAAATTCTCAGGCACTATGATTCTATCTTCTGTTCCGGGTCTAATAGCCCGGACCTCTTTGCCCGTGTCCGTCAACGAGTCACAGAGGAAATGAATGCCTCTTTATTGCAGCCGTTTACGATAACGGATGTAAAGGCCGCTCTTTTTTACATGGCCCCTGAGAAAGCTCCGGGACCAGATGGACTGTGCCCGGCATTTTTTCAACATTTTTGGCCGGTGATAGGCCATGACCTTTCAGTGTTTATTATAAATTGTGTGGAGACCAAATGCCTTCCGCTGGGGCTAAATGAGTCAAACATTGTTCTCATCCCGAAAAAAAAAGGTCCCTGAGAAAGTTGCTGATTTGAGACCGATAGCACTTTGTAACGTTGTCTACAAAGTGCTGGCTAAAATGTTAGCCAATCGTTTGAAGGGGTGGCTGGAACGGGTAGTGTCACAATCGCAGAGTGCGTTTGTGCCCGAGAGATTTTTAACTGACAATGTTATAGTGGCCAGCGAGATTGGGCATTTCTTACGAAGGAAAACTGGCGGCCTTATGGGTTGGGTAGCGCTAAAGCTAGACATGACTAAAGCGTACGACAGGATGGAGTGGTCTTTTTTGGAAGGTATGATGGGGGCTTTGGGTTTTGACAGGGGGTGGACAGATCTTATAATGTTGTGTGTTACTACGGTGAAGTATGCCATTCTTGTTAATAGGGAGGTTGTGGGCCAGGTGTGTCCTACCCGGGTAATACGCCAAGGAGACCCTCTATCGCCTTACCTATTCATAATTTGTGCTGAAGGACTATCAATCATATTGCAACAGGCAGAGGACCGGGGTGATATTCATGGGGTGAGGGTAGCCCGGGGGGCCCCGGCTATCACTCACCTGTTTTTTGCTGACGATAGTTTACTATTTTTCAGGGCCACCCAACATGAAGCAATAAAAGTCAAGGAATGTTTAGACTTATACAGTCAGCCTTCGGGACAACTTATTAATTATGAAAAATCCAGTGCGGTTTACAGCCTTAACACGACATCACATATGCGAACGTTGGTTTCTGAATGTATGGGAGTTCGTGCCGCTAATGATCTCGGGCGCTATTTGGGCCTCCCTTCTTTTTTTTGACGTAACAAAATAGCCACTTTCAAGTATATTGAGGAGAGCGTACGATCCCGCATTGGCCTATGGATGCACAAATTTCTATCCCGTGCAGGTAAAGAAGTCTTACTCAAGAGTATAGCGCAGGCTCTTCCGATTTTTACCATGTCGTCATTCTTACTCCCATTACGTGTTTGTGACACGCTAGAAAAATTGTTCAATCGCTTTTGGTGGGGAGGTGGTGGTACGGGGAGTCGAGGTATACACTAGCTGAGATGGACTCGGATGTGCAAACCAAAAGCGGAGGGTGGAATGGGTTTCAAGAAGTTGCACGAGTTTAATCTAGCTTTATTAGCTAAGCAAGGTTGGCGTTTATTAATTTATCCGGATTCGCTGATTAGCCGCCTACTTAAAGCCAAGTATTATCCCACCACTGATTTTATGGGAGCACAATTAGGCAGAAATCCGAGTTACATATGGCGGAGTATCATGGCTGGTCAACACGTGCTACGACTGGGCATTGCGAGGCGAATCGGGGATGGTTTAGACACGAAGATTTGGGGTTGGAATTGGTTGGCCGGGACTACTAATGAACCGTTACATACCCCATGCGCTGAACACCTACAGGAGGCTAGAGTCAGGGGCTTGTTCGACGCCCATGGCCGTTGGGATGAAGACATTATACGTGACATTTTTCTGGACGTGGACGTAAGGAGAATTCTCGCAACACCGATTAACACCCAACTGCATGACTTCTGGCGCTGGATGGGGGACATTCGAGGAAGGTACACGGTGAGACATGGTTACAATCTGCTTGTGCATGAGGACTTCCGAACCGGGGAACCGAATGGCTTTCGTGCATGGAAGAAACTATGGGGGTTACCAATCCCGCCTTAAGTCAAAAATTTCCTATGGCGTTGTGCGAAGGGAATTCTGCCAGTCCGGGAGAATCTACGTACGAAGAATGTATGGATAGGTGGTGGATGCCCGCTATGTGGTCATGTAACAAAGACTACGGAGCACCTTCTATGTGAGTGTGTAATCGCATGCCGGGCCTGGGAGTCCAATGCCGTGTTACAAGGGCGAGGGTTCCTGGATTTCATGGAAGCCGTGATTGGCAGCTCAAATATAGCTGAGGCTGTGAAGCTCGCGGCAGTCTTTTGGACTGCCTGGTGTGTACGCAATGAGGTCGTTTGGCATGACAAAGTTCTTTCCGTAGAGGAGGCCTACAACCGTATAAAGCATTTCCAGGACACTTGGATGGCAGCCTACGCTCCGGTACATCAACCTTCTCGCCGCACTGATCAACCTGGGATGTGGACACCGCCGCCGCAAGATGTTATGAAATGTAACATTGACGCAGCTACATTTGCGACCGGAGCCAGCTTTAGAGCGGTTGTGCGTGACCACGACGGCGCATTTGTTGCTGTGAAGAGTGGATGGTTTGATGGGGTTGACGACCCTTTCTTGGCTGAGGTCCTTGCTGCTAAGGAGGCACTTTCATGGATGAAGACACAAGGCCTAGCAAACTGTTTATTAGAATCGGATTGTTTAAATTTTTGCAACGCTTTTAATTCTCACAATGTTGATTTTTCTTACGTAGGTATTATTGTGAAGCAATGTTTGTCGATTGCTACTGATATGGGCTCTGTGAAAGTGGTTCATACTAAGAGAACAATGAATCATGTGGCTCATGAGCTTGCTCGGGCAACCGTTTCGGAGTCTGTCTCTGGGGAGTGGAATATGATCCCACCGACTTGTATTGTTGATTTTCTAAGTCATTAATGAATGCCGTTTGTTTGTTTCAAAAAAAAAAAAAAAAGACTTATGAAATTCTTAGAGAAATCCACAATAATTTTCAAGAAAAATATCATAAAATAAAACATGATATTACGGACATAGGAATTATAAAAATAGAGACAGAGCTTAAAGAAGTAACCGAACAAATAAATCAAATAGCTCACGAAATAAAAAATACTGAAATAGGAATTGCTAAATTAGAAACCTTAAGGTATAGAATTTTAACACATTTATTTACTTAATTTACTATCCCCAACGAACCTAGCCCACCCCCACACATACTTAGGTGAGAACGTGAGAACACATCATGTGCATCTATCTAATATTTTTTAATGGTCTAGATTAGATTAAGTGTGTGCAAACATACTAAATCGCGTTTGCACACATTTAATACGCGTTCGCACACACTTAATCTAATCTAGACATTAAAAATATTAGATGGATGCACATGATGTGTTCTCACGTTCTCACCTAAGCACATGTTCTTACTGGAACTCTAACATAGGTGTGGTGATATGGTCAATTACAGGCCATTAGATTAGATAGATTTAACGAATCACATTAATCAAGATTCTTCCAGTATTTTTGCGCACGTTCTCCTACCCAGCGAACTGCAAAGGTAAACTCGTCACAGGCCACCGGAATAGGAAAAATCACATTGTTGTGTGTTTTATTTGCGTAATTGGTGCATTATTAGCCTTACTCTGGTGTATTTGTAGATTCTCATTGGTGCCAAGTTCAAGTGCGGCAACGCCTTCCCGTGTGGTCAGTGCGGCCGCACCAATTGTTATAAAAATATACATCATCCATGTTATGAAATGCAGAGTAAAAAACATACACAAATTAGGTATGCATCACCAAAAACGCGTCATTAGATATGAATAAATACACCATACAGTGTTCCGAATACACTATTGGTGTGTTTCACTGTGGTGTGTTTTATTACACTATTAGTGCATGTTGTCAACACTGTTGGTATATTTCTGGAACTCGGCCGCTATAAATGGCCACTGTAATTACTATAACACACTCACTTACCAAAACGCGCTAAAATCCTCAAATCCTCATAATTATTCACTGCCATTAGATTAAACTGATTCAACGACACAGATACGACCACACCGTCACACCTAATGACATGATCATATATATATATATATATATATATATATATATATATATATATATATATATATATATATATATATATATATATATATATGTATGTATATATACATATATGTATATATATGTGTATATATATATATATATATATATATATATGTGTGTGTGTGTGTGTGTGTGTGTGTGTGTGTGTGTGTGTGTGTGTGTGTGTGTGTGTGTGTGTATATATATATATATATATATATATATATATATATATATATATATATATATATATATATATATATAACCGTTCGGTTAATCGACGGTTTCGAACTGAATTAACCGTTATTCAAAATTTTAAAAAATCTTTAATCATTAAAAAATGGTTAACCAAACTTTGTCAGTTTGGTCGGTTAACCGAAAATTTACCGAAGTTTGCACACTCCTACTTACAATGATCAAAATTATCAACCAAAATTTAGTACATTTACAGCTTGACTTTGTTTCAACACAACTACGTGATCTTAACTTCAAATTCAAGCTCTCAATTTCTTGTTCGTATCGGTCTATCTTTCTTATCTGTCCAGGGATTATCACATTTGACCTTACACACATTGAGGGGGTCAAACCAATGAACAAATCCACAACCACTGACAACTCATCGTACCCAAACAAAATATGAACACAGCTGCCAAATCCACATCCACCAACTGTGTTAAATTATCTAATTTGTTTAAGAAATATAAATACTCACATTTTCATATGCGCACAGCCAAAACCTACGATCTGGATTGTCATTTGTCCACAAAGTGCTTATCTTCAGTCGTTGCCCACAATGACACCTTAGTCATGATGAAGCTTCTCCAATTTGGAACACCATTTCATTCTTATGTGTTGATGAATCATAGCTTTCTTCGGGTTATCTTGATTGTAATGTACCTTAACTTAGGTTTAAACGAGATAATTAAAGTTTCAATTTTATCCTTCAACATTAACGGTAAAACTGATTAAGAATCATTTTGGTTAATGTTTGCATAATTAAAGATTAAATTAAACAAAATTAGAAGTTGATAACCAAAATAGTGAAATCTTAGTAATCGAAGGACCAAATCAAATATTAGCTCGTATGACTATTGCTTAATTTTGCATCCTTTGTAAAAACATGTGCATTCCCAACCATTAGTAGAGAAAAAAAGTATATAGTCATTATTGTAAAACTGTATTTGAGTATTGAATCACCAAAGATCAAAGCAAAAAAACTAAAAATACACAACGTTAATAAATTTTATTTTCAAAACTGAATACAACGTTACAAAACAATGGTTAGTGTTGAGAAAGAAGATGTAGAAGAAGTTTTTATTACTTGCTTGTCTCAATGAGGAGACAATAGATAAATATATACAGACTAAGAGACACAATCCTAATAGACACAACCCTACACAACTTCAACAGCTATATTTCTACAAACACAACTTTTGTGTTTCAACACTCCCCCTCAAGCTGGAGCATGTATATCATATGCACCAAGCTTGTTACAAATGTATTCAATCCTATGACTTCTTAAAGCTTTAGTAAATATATCAGCTAATTGATTATTTGAGCCTATAAAAGATGTAGTAATATCTCCAGAAGTAACTTTGTCTCGAACAAAATGGCAATCAATTTCAATGTGTTTCGTCCTTTCATGAAAAACTGGATTTGATGCAATATGCAAAGCTGCTTGGTTATCACAAATGAGCTTCATGGACTCCTTTGTACAAATCTGCAGTTCGGTAAAGAGGTTTTTCAACCACACAAGTTCACATGTTCCAACGGCCATAGATCGATATTCGGCTTCTGCACTTGATCGAGCAACAACATTTTGCTTTTTACTTTTCCAAGAGATTAAGTTGCCACCAAGAAAGATACAATATCCAGATGTTGATTTTCTATCCCATGCACCTGCCCAATCTGCATCTGTGTACCCAATAATTTCAAGGTTTCCATGGTCTTTGTGTAACAAACCAGTGCCTGGAGATTTTTTAATATATCGTAAAATCCGAATGGCAGCTTCCCAATGACTTTCTCGTGGAGATGCCAAGAACTGACTAACAACACTTACCGCAAAAGAGATATCAGGTCGAGTTACAGTTAAATAAAGTAATCTTCCAACCAATCGTCTATATTTTCCCGGATCTTGGATAAGCTCCCCCTGGTCTGGTAGGAGTTTGATATTTGGATCCATAGGAGTGTCAAGAGGTTTGCAATTCATCATACTTGTGTCTTCTAGTATATCCAATGCATACTTTCTTTGTGATATGCAAATTCCTTGCTTGGATTGTGCTACTTCAATTCCCAAAAAGTATTTTAACTTCCCCAGATCTTTTGTTTCAAAATGTTGGAATAGATGTTGTTTCAACAATTGTATTCCTTCAACATCATCTCCTGTAATGACAATATCATCAACATATACAACAAGATAAATGCTCTTACCATGTTGATGTCTATAAAAGACGGAATAGTCAACTTTGCTTCGATTTAAACCAAAATTTTGCACTACTATGCTGAACCGTCCAAACCAGGCACGAGGAGATTGTTTTAGACCATAGAGAGAACGTTTGAGCTTACAAACCAAGTTACTCTCCCCCTGAGCAACAAACCCAGGAGGTTGCTCCATGTAGACTTCTTCCTCTAAATCTCCATGCAGAAAGGCATTTTTAATATCTAACTGATGCAAGGGCCAATGATGAACGGCAGCCATAGAAAGAAAGATTCTGACCGAAGCAATTTTAGCTACTGGTGAAAAGGTGTCAGTGTAATCAATCCCAAAAACCTGTGTATATCCTTTAGCTACCAGTCGAGCTTTAAGTCTATCAACTTGTCCATTGGGCCCAACTTTCACAGTATAGATCCATCGGCAACCAACAGTTGTTTTACCTTCGGGTAATGAAACTAACTCCCAAGTTCCCGATGAATGAAGAGCAGCCATTTCATCAATCATAGCCTGACGCCAACCAGGGTGGTAAAGGGCTTCTTTAACAGATTTAGGGGCAAAAACAGAAGATAAACATGTGATAAAAGCATTATATGAAGGTGAGCGACGATCATATGAAATAAAGTTGTATATGGGAAAGGGATTTCGTGATGACCTGTTACCTACACGACTTGCAATAGGAGAGCTTGTTGCCGGAACCGGGTTCGAGGGCATAGATAGCTCGAGAGATGAATCAGTTGGGATTTCATCGATTTGAACTGTCGCGGGTGGTCGAGAGCGGCGATGATAAGTGTAAGGAAAGGGGGTAACACCGTTGTTTTGTAAAGGAGGTTCAGTAGGTGAGGGACTAGGATTTCTAGGTGATGACGGATCTTGAGGTAAATGTACCTCGGTCCCTCCTTGAAAAGTAGGAACAGGAAGAACATCAGGAAAATGAGAAATGGAGGTCGGTAAACTAGACGAAAAGAAAGGTGTTGATTCAAAGAAAGTAACATCAGAAGATACATAAAATCGATGTTTATCAGGAGAATAACATCTGAAACCCTTTTGAAACCTAGAGTACCCAACAAACATGCATTTTAAGGATTTTGGAGAAAATTTATCACGCCCTGGGGTAGTGTCCCGGACAAAACAGGTGCACCCAAAAATTTTTAAAGGAAGAGTATGAAGAGGCTTATCGGGAAATAAAATATTATAAGGTATCTTACCATGTAAAACAGATGAAGGCATACGATTTATTAAATAACAGGAATGAAGGATAGCATCTGCCCAGAATTCTGGAGGGACTTTATAGTGGAGAATCATGGTGCGGGCTGTTTCAACGAGATGCCGGTTTTTACGTTCAGATACCCCATTTTGTTGTGGAGTATCGGGACAAGATGACTCATAGAGGATGCCCGCTGAATCAAGAAAGTTAGATAAAGGAGTTGTAAAGTATTCTCCAGCATTATCACTTCGTAAAGTTTTAATAGACACCTCAAACTGATTTTTTATCTCATTAACAAATTTTTGAAGAACATTAAGTACTTCAGAACGGTTTTGCATTAAAAAGACCCATGTACAACGAGAAAAATCATCAGTGAAGGTAACAAAATATTTAAAACCAAGAATTGAATTATAACGAAAAGGTCCCCAAACATCAGTATGAACTAAGGAAAAAGGGAAAGCAGCTCTTTTATTAACACGATTAGGAAACGATGTTCTAGAATGTTTGCCAAGCTGACAGGCTTCACACTCTAGGGTAGATAAGTGAGACAAACTAGGGACAAGTCGCTGTAATTTTTTAAGGCTAGGATGTCCTAGTCGGTCATGGGCAAGGGAAGGAGGAATGGTAGCAGTGCAAACTGTAGAAGGGTTTGGGGTAGATAATCGATAAAGTCCTTCTGATTCATACCCCGAGCCAATCATCTTCCCCGAACGACAGTCCTGCATAATGACAGAATCAGAAGAAAAAGTGACCGTACAGTCCAAAGATTTTGTAAGTTGATGAACAGAAATTAAATTGAAAGGACAGTTAGGTATATAAAGAATTGAAGAGAGAGGCAAAGTAGGAAGGGGGGAAGCCTTTCCAATTGCAGTAGCCGTACTCTTGGACCCATTACCGAAAACAATAGATGGAAGGGACTTAGACTTGGTGAAATGAGAAAATAAAGATGAGTTACCAGAGATATGCTCAGAGGCACCTGAATCGATAACCCATGGTCCGCTCAGGCCAGATTGTGATACAAGGGCAGTATGAGTTCCATCAGTGTAGGCTGCAGGAGTTAAACCAGAAACTTTGGGAGTGGCTTTAAATCGAACAAACTCTTCATACTCAGCAGCGGAAATGGTTCGAGAATTTGGTTCCCCAGGTTGAGATTGAGCAACACTTGCTTGCGTACGTACCGGTCTCCCATGAAGTTTCCAACACTGATCTCGTGTGTGCCCAGTTCTATTACAATAATCACACACTCTAGTGTTTTTCTGTCCACCACGATTGTTAGTTCGTCCACGACCTCCTTGTGTGACTAGAGCAGATTGTTCGGTAGTGGATGTGTGAGTACCCGGAATGGAGGTGACCTGCAAGAGCCGTTTGAACAACTCGGTGGTCCCCGGGACAATGTTGCTTCCAAGAACTTGATTCCGGATGCTTTCAAATTCTGGACCTAATTTGGTTAAGAGAAGTATGACAAAGAATTTCTCTCGTTGGGTAAGTTGCTCTGCGGGTGTACCACCAATAGGGGCATGAGTGTACCAAACTCAGCAATCAAACTTTGGGCTTTGCCAAGAAAAGTTTCCATATCAATACCATCTTTCTTTAAGTTAACCAAATTGTCAACAACATTATAGAATTGAGAGACATCATTAGTGTACAGAGATTGAGCTTGACTCCACACCCCGACACATGTCTTAAAGGGCCGGAATAAAGGCAACAATTGTGGAGAAAGAGACTGCCAAAGGAGACTACAAAGTTGAGCATCTAACCTTTGCCAAACTGTCTTTTCTTTTTCCGGTATCATATCCACTTCTTTTTGCAAGTGGTCAACAACACCTTGGCCCATAAACCATAATTCTACGGCATTCGACCAAGAGTGGTAATTTTGAGAACCACATAATCTTTCAGAAGTGATTACCGGGTTTCCAGACAGATTAGGCACATAAACAGAGCTCGAAGAAGTAGATAAATTATTGGCAGGAGAAATAGTACCCGAATTATCAGAATTTTCGTCGAAAGACATCGTGACCAAAAATAAATCTGATTGCACGGAAGGAAAGGAGGAGAGCCGACGATACGATCTGGAAAATATCGCCGGAAAAAGCCGCCGGAGATGGCCTCACGCGCCGGCGTGTGGTGTCGGAGCGCCGGCGACGCGGTGGCGCGTGGAGGAGATTCCGGCGACCGGAATTAATGGGTAATGGTCGCCAGAGGATGGGTAAGGCGGCTGTAGTACTAATTTGATAAAATATCTCACCAATAGCAAGTAATTTGAAAAATTAATTTCGAATGAACAGTAACATACTGTTCACCGGAAAAAAATTTTCAAATTTTGACTTTTGGCTCTTGATACCATGTTGAGAAAGAAGATGTAGAAGAAATTTTTATTAATTGCTTGTCTCAATGAGGAGACAATAGATAAATATATACAGACTAAGAGACACAATCCTAATAGACACAACCCTACACAACTTCAACAGCTATATTTCTACAGACACAACTTTTGTGTTTCAACAGTTAGAACACTATCAAACACAACATAAATCATGCAGGCAACCATCCCCAAGATTGATAATTGTTTGAAAGATGGAGTGTTTTGCTTTGTTTAGATTAATGCCTTGAATTTGGCAATTTTTACCTTGTCTTCTAAAATTGAAAATTCAAAACTAAAATTTTAAAGATAAAACCGATTAGTAAAATATAATAATATATCATCTCATACTTTCTTAAAATAAAAAGATACTGTTGATGTATGCAAGTCAATGGCAATGGGATTTGACATTTTCAAAAAGTGAAGACAATAATATTCCTTCACAATAAACTTAAAAGAAAAAAGAACAAAAAAAAAAAAAAGGACGCCAATGCAGCCCTTGGGTGCAGATACAGTTGAACTTGTATTATACAGTATATGCTAAAGATAGATATGAAATTCGTCGAGAATTAGTACAAGCGTTTCCGACATTCTGGAGCTCCACAGTAGCATGCCATTTGTTTAATCTTTCCATCAGGACCCAAAACACTATCAATACCATACCCGTAATCATATGTCAACTCCTGCACCAAATTATATCATCTCAAATACTCATTTTACAAAAAATCATATCTTTTCATTTGCAACTCCAACTATATAAACATAATCAATAATCAATTTCATTAAATAGCAGATCCTAAAATTAACCACAGCAGCCAATCAATTTACCTCTTCTGTGTGCTTTGTAAAATATCACATTCGAATAAGTAATACACACTCTCAAGTAGTGGGCAAATTATATCGTGGACTAGTGTGAACTCTGATCCAATACACAAAATTTGACTTCATAATGCACAGAAATCATGTTCATAATACACATACACATAAACACGATATAATGAACATGAATTTTGTGTATTATGAACATGAATTCTGTGCATTATGAACATGAATTCTATAATGTTAGGTGTTTATGTATCCTCAGCTATATAATGCACAGAATTAATATTCATTATATCATGTTTATGTGTATGTGTATTATGAACATGAATTATATGTATTATGAACATGAATTATATATATTGGAGCAGGTTCCACAGTATACTGTGGATCTTGGTCCACAATATAACAAGCCCTCATCACAAAATAATAATAATAATTTGATGTATGAAAGGCTGCAGAAGAGAGTAAAGAATTGAAAACCTGCAGTGGAGGAATGTTATCAGCAGCCATTAGCACGACTCGAGCCAGTTTAATGTCATGGTGATTGCTTAAAACACATTGTACAAAAAGATTTGGCTGACAACTGTGATTGATGAACCTTGAGATATTTCCAGTGGAGAACCCATCAATGCAGAACTCTGGTGCACCATCCACAGCCTTCTCATCACCATTATCAACATACTCAGGCAAGGAAACATCCCTCAAACGCCTCTGCACAAATCAATTAACTCATAAAACACTGAAACTGCCAAGCTGGTATGTATATAAAGGACCACAACTATAAGAACCACAATTCCAGAAACACATCTGTTCAATGAGGGAAATCTGCCTCAAAACCATTCCCCATATATTTAATAAATAGCTTTATGTCCAGCACCAGGTAGAGTCTTATTTATGTTGTTTTATATAGAATACACACAAACCCTACCTCTCTTCCATCCAAACCCTTCATTGTTTGCAAGCAGTCAATGTCAAAAACATAATTTGTATCAGAAGAGGGATCTATCTGATCAGTCTTAATCAGTTTCCCAATGTATTCACAAATGGGAGCACCAGAAGGTATATAATCCCATGATCTAACACCCCACCCCTTATTTGGAGTACGAAAGACCTGTCATCATCAAAAAGTGAATGTGAGTATTTAAAGTGGAACATATGCTTAAATCCATCAAAAGTATATATTCATATCATACAACCTCAAGCCGATACTTTAGTCCTCTTTGAGAGGTCCGATTAACGCAAGAAGCTCCACACTTACAATTTGGACCACATTCAAAAACCACGGCCCTGGGTTCTATTAGCCTAGAAAGATATGACCATAGTAGCACTTTCAAATCAAGTAGTAAGACTAGAAGGGTAAACATCATATTGAACATTGAAACATACAATGATGAATATTGAAAAAAGGAAAACAATAAAGATGTGTAAACACCATATGTAACTTGAACCACACCTGCCACCATCTCGCTCTGCGTACGGGAAATCTGAGCCATTCAGCTTTGCACAAGCACAAGTTTTTGAGTCAAAACACTTGCCCCGACAATCGCATCCAGAGCCAGTAGGAGGGATAGCTATATCTTTGGGCCATATCAAATTTTTGGTATAAGTGAACCCTGTGTGATAAAGTAAAAGCAACACCCCATCAACTTCAGATTGAAACACTCCACATAAAAGAATTCACAAAATTAACTCTTCAGAGCTAAACATAATTACTAACATCTCATAATTAATAATTTAAAATGCTAAGTTAACTCAAAATTCTAAGAAAGCAATTAGTCAGGACACAATTCACAATCAATTATTGACAAACTCAACGTGAAGTAAAGGATAATTATAATAAAATGAGAAACATTAAATGTAAAACAGTGTCTGATGCACTTCAAACATTTTGTGAAGTAAACCTGAGTGTTTCTTGCACTGTGTTGGCTAACACAGAGTAGTCCAGCAGACAGCCAAGGCCACCACCCACAAAAAAGGTAGAATCAATATGACATGGGTAGTAAAAGAGACTACTAGACTCTAGAGAAAGTTGGGATGCACCACAACGGAAACACCTCATATTCCCCCTTCACTTGAAACATGGGATGCTACACACCATTGTCTACTACTCAAGCATTCACTCATCACCAAAGCATAGTCTCATACTTTGTTCACTTTTGTAAATTACCGCGTGTATTTAAGGTCTTCTAAGGAATCAAGCTTTGTTCACCAAGAGTTCTACATAACATCCATATACTTGGCATCTTTGGACTCTGTTATGGTATATATATATATATATATATATATATATATATATATATATATATATATATATATATATATATATATATATATATATATAATATGGAATCTCTATAGATTAGGCCCTTAGTGATTTAGGTAGATAGGCATATGGAAACTTATTTCCTATTCGAAGTCTTCTAGATCCTTTTAATATTTGCATAACATTTATACAGAGCCTCTTTTAATTGTGGTAAAAATATAAAACTGCATTAGGAAAGAAGTACCTGGAGGTGGAATGGGTTCATCATCAACCAGATTAGTTGCTGGAATGGGGATGTCCTCTAGGCCACCAGAAATATCATCACATACCAACCTAGCAATTTGTAATAGCAAAAATCACCATCTGAGAAGTAATACCACTTAAAAAACATCTTCTTACAAGCCATACCCTCGTATTTCAGAGACTGAATTTGGAATACGACCTCGAACAAAATGAACCTGGATGGTGGGAGAAAGTAAACCAGAATAACATTATTATTTAAAAAAAAAAAAAAAAAAAAAAAAAAAAAAAAAAAAAAAACACACACACACACATTTAAAATGGAGTCTATCATCATCATTTTCATGGCTTTAAGTCAACCACTGAAGAAAGTATGGCAACAATAGTCAAGCATATTTATCTTGAGTCTTGAGATAAGAGTCAAATAAAGCCTCAAGTTTGTCAAGGAAATACAACCAATCCCCTCAACTCATAAAACATGAAATTACATCCTTGAACCCTAAAACTAAAACCATCCTGCCAAGTCACCAAGCACTAGTACTGACACATTACTCTCAACTTCCAAGCCAAGATCCTAGAACAGGTTGTCATCTTCCTAATACAACCAAAGGTTGTATGGGAATGCTCTTCTTCGAGTCAAGAGCTAAACTCCAGAAAGTGGAGGGAGAAGAGACATCGTTGTGCTTGAGTGGCCCAACTCCAAAAAAATGGGATAAGAGATGAGATTGTCACCAGACAAGCCCATTATATTGTTCAGTCCTTATACATTTATATAGGTAGCTATATATATGCATGATCATATAAACCACCCACTACCACATTAACCATCCATTGTCTCATTACTTGTTATAACTACCCACTATAATAATAATAATAAGGGAAAATTGCACTTTTCGTCCCGAAGTTATAAGGTAATTGTAGAATTTATCCTCAAGTGTTGATCATGCTCACTTTTTGTCCCTAAGTTATCATTAGCATTACACTTTTCAGCCATTTATTAATTAAACATTAGGGACGATATTTGCAATCTTAGTACAACTCAGGGACAAAAAGTGAGCACGAAAGGACGAAAAATGTAACGTCAATGATAACTTAGGAACAAAACGTGAGTATAACCAACACTTAAGGACGAATTCTACAATTAGCTTATAACTTACGGACGAAAAGTGCAATTCTCCCTAATAATTGCAATGACATTAAACCATGGGTGTATCACATCCCCTACAAGCATGTGCTGCACCATAAGATTGTTGGATCCTCATCCCATTAAATGAAACGTGTGGCTTGCTGACAGATGACTAGCAAAAAGATTAGATATGGGCTTCTTAGTTGGAGAAATTGCAATGGCAAGCTTTTCAGCTAGTCCATGAGCCTGGGCTTGACATCCAAGTCAGAGTAAGAATTAACCTCCAAGGTTGAATTCCTCAAAAGATGAAATATTTTTGGGTTGATAAGGGTTTGGACTTGACGCTAAGGAACACATGCTGAAATACAAAGATGACTTGGCTTGGAAAAGAAAGGAAGTGTGATCTTCAGCTTCTTCTTTTTTTTTTTTAAATAATAATAATATTTTCTGATGTCAAGAGAGTGAAGAGTTGAGGTGAAACTATGGCAACTGATTTATTTGACCGGCAAGCACAGTAGTGATGATTAACATGGAGTGATGTTTTTCAGAAGCATTATGTTTACACTGCCCACAGTTGTAGGTTTACAGTGGCAGATTTGATGGGATAGAGGTGATGCAAAAGAGGGAAATGAACAAAAGTGATTGTCATATTGCCTCTAGTGGAAAAAATAACCCACATCATATACCAACTTAGACAGACACCTTCCAAATAATTGCTGAAGACAACCAGCTAAATCACTCACCAAAACAAGAGCTAATTTCTTTTACCTTACAAATTCATCAGCCTGTTTGGCACATAATACATGCAGTTTTTCAGAGCCCATAAAGAACATAAAGAAAATGTGTTGTTCAAAAAAGAAACAGGCAAGCTTCAGCACTACAAAATAAAAACTGATTTATCTGAAAATAAAAATAAAAAGAAAAAGCAAATAGCAACCATCATATCATGTATACAACTCTCAAGTCATAACCAATAGTTATTAATGAATATAAGTAATAAGTGTATGTATGTATATTATAAAACCAATATGACAATTACTAACAGAGTAATTAATCCACTAGCAAAAGCAAAACATATAGAAAACCTGGTTTGAAGTCAAGGGAGGCTGTCCTTCAATACGTTTAAGGCCAAATTTAAAGATTGTGAATCCAGATATGCCTTTCTCAGCCCAAAATTTTATTACCTACAAATTCAAAAATCAACAAATAAAGACAATTCCCATGAACTTGGCAAAATTGCATGTACTAACAGCTAACTATTGATGAAAACTTGAAAGAGCATCACCTGGTACAAGCCATCATATGTGTAAACCTTGCCCACATAACTATTTGGGCATCGGTGTCCACGGACTACTCGAACAGGTACAGATTGCTCCATGCAGTTCTGTTAATGTGAACCAAAAAAAAAAAAAAAAAAAATCAACCAAAACTCAATCCTTGTTAAGCCAATATTCTTAGGAGAGTGGGCCAAGGTCTAGGTTATAATGCATATGAACCAAACCACACTAAAAGATTGAATCAAAGCAATCAACTAATCTAACCTATAACATTATAAACCCATATGTTCTCTCTTATATTTTCAATGTGGAACTCTTAAGAAATCCTATTCGATTCATTCTTCTTTTAATTAAGCTCATCTACTACCTTGGTAAAGGAACTTTTCATTTGTCAGATATGCACATTGATGATGATTTTTTTAGTCAAACTTCAATCTGTTTTCTGAAAGCCTAGTAAAGGCCAGTGTTAGTATTGAATTTATTATCTCAATGAAAGAACGGATTGCTAACTCAACTAGTTTGTTATACAAAAGTGAAGTTGGCCACCAGCCAAAGATGCCTTTTAACCCAGTTTATAGAAAAATGAAATAAGAAATATTATCTCCATTGAACCCATTATGACAGAAAGAAGATATAAATGAAGAAAGGAATAGAGAAAAGAAAATTAAAAACCTTGAGGGCTAAGTTACCCCTTAGCATGACTTGATCTTTTATCTGGCGTTTATTTCCTAACAGGTCATTGCCACCTTGACCTGTGTAGACAACTTCCTCATAGTTGTCCTGGTCATCCTCATATTGGCCAGATAATACAATGGCTGTTGCAAGAGGCATTCTATAACCACTAAACTCCTACAAAAGCAAGAAGTTTAGAACAAAGTGAGGGACAAATATTTAACCTCACCAGTTACAGGTTAAAAACAAAAGCTTAAAATGACCATCACATTTGAAAAATGATTAATAGCTAAGGAGAATGTGGTAGCCACTTAAAGGTTAATGAAACTACCTGCAACTAAACCTTGAAATTTAGAGTAACTTGTAAACCCTTTGGCATACCATGAGAGCCCAATACAGTGCAAGAAGAATTAAACAAGAACCTTAACCAAATGAGTCAATATATATATATATATATATATATATATATATATATATATATATTAGTGATCAAATGAGACCACCTCCCCACGTGAGACCATGCGGACTTGTACATGAATGCACACAATCTAAAATTCCAAGCACAAAATACACCCTGGAGTAGCTTGTGTGCAACCATGTTGGTTTGCACGGTCTCACGAGAGGTGGTCTCATTGAAATATTACCCTCTATATATATATATATATATATATATATATATATATAGGTTCAAATGAGAACAGGGCTTCCTGTGCGGTTTACACCATTAGGTATGCATATATGCACTACACAGTATTCGAAAATGCACTAAAATAAAATACATGCACCACATAATGGTGTATTTTCGAACACTGTGTGATGCATTTATGCATACCTAATGGTGTAAACCGCACCGACCGTACGAGAAGCTCTGTTCTTACAAGAACCTACCCCTATATATATATATATATATATATATATATATATATATATATATATATATATATATATATATAAACAAAGAGAACAGAGATGAGTAGCCAATAAAATGATGCTCATAGATTCTAACATCACTATCTACTTCAAAAAGTCACCCTTTATCTCCATGTAACAAGGAAGACAATTTTACTTTGGGAAAAGCAGTGAACACAAAAAATATATTGCTCAAAATCAAAAGCAAAATTTTGTGAAACAAAGTTGAAGCATCATGCCCAAAGACATAGTACCCGTTGTTTGGTCCGTCCAATGTAATCAATGCCATTGAGCCAATGGCTATGGAATCCTATTACAACCATCTCACATCGTGAAAAAAATTGATGCCCAACTTCAATCCCTGCACCAGGAAAACAAATTAATCCTTTATTATTAAAACTGAAAATAGTATGTTTCAACATTGTGCTAAATCAAGAAATTATCTTTGAAGCCTTGTATCTCTATATTCCAACACTGTTCTTTACTTTATAAGAAGAAACAAGCCTTCACTCTATATATTTCTTCTCCAACGCTGAACAGTTCCTTTCAGATTTTATTCTCCTATAATCTTGAAGAACAATCCTGGAATAGTTCTCTTATTAGAACAAGACAATGAGACATAGGGGTGTAGGCTGGAGTTGAAACTCACTCATCCTCTTTTCAATCATGTTTCTATTCTTCCTCAACATTGTACCAAAGACCTGATTCTAGGGTTTTTTGAACTTCCATTTCCCTTTTTCACTCACCACAATCAAAACATCACCCACCCAACAAATAAAAAAACAAAATCAGTATTTTGATTTGTATATACCTTGGTATTCAACTTGAGACCTAGAAGTAACAATTAATCTAAGCTATTCCAGGTACCATAAAGATTCACTGTGGCAGACTGTAGCACAATACTATAGCATTGCCTTAAAATGAACCATAGCAGCACATGTAGCAATCAAGGTTATCAAGGCAGACTTTCTAGTCGAGATGCCACCGAACGCCTAGTCGACGATGAGTATTAAATAAATAAAAAGTATATATATTGAAAATATCTTGTCTTGGGCAGCCTTTTTGCTGGCCTATTTACTTGAAGTAGATGAATAGTTTTTCCTAGGATAGTGAGAAGTCAAGTATTTATTGAATATTGAAAATATCTTGTCTTGGGAAGCCTATTTACTTCAAGTTGTCTTGAGAAGATGAATAGTTTTTCCTAAGGTGGTGAGAAGTCTAGTATTTATTGATAACATGCCAGAATGAGGTAGTGGGCTTCACTCGGAACAGGAGGACAACGCCGGAGCTTTAACCGCGCCGCCATCAGAGCCACCACGCGTCGCTGCTCCGACGCCACGCGCTGGCACATGAGGCAGATTCCGGCGACTTCTCCGGCTGAAAATTACACCGGTCAACTCGCCTTAGTGTGTAGGTTCAGCCCATGTATGTTTTGTGGGGGTCTGCACTTAGGCAAGGCGAGCACATTAGGCGTTCGGTCTCAACCCACCGGACGCCTAGGCGACGCCTTGATAACACTGGTTCAAAAAATGTTTCCAACACTCAAAAAAAAAAAAAAAAAAAAAAAAAAAACATTATATTCTAAGATTGGGCTAGGGTCCTGCATTATTACATGCACTTTACCTTTTTTTATAACAAAGTGTTATACATAGTTACCAAATAATGCACTTGGATTGCAGCCCCTTACATGGCATTTGGTTCAAAGAATAAAAATAAAGGAAATAGATAGAGTATATTATAATGAAAAATTACAATAGATTGAGTTTCTATGTATGCTCTATACTTCTATAAACCTCTATATATACTAAACAATATACTAAATCAATCCTAATAGGAATAGGAAATTAAGTCCACTCCTACTAGGAGTTTCCTAATATTCAATAAAGATTTCCTAATATTCAACATATTCAAAATAAAACACATATAAATATATGCATACTCACCCACTATAAAATAACAAAATAAAAATATAATTCAAAACAATATATATACAAATAACAAACAAAAATGAAAATATATATATATATATATATATATATATATATATATATATATTGTACAATATATGTGTATACATACACACAAAAGATTTGTAGGGGTATTTTTTTATTTAATAAAAAAAATACATAATCCTAACAGGTTAAGAATAGCTAATACCAAGGGGGCTTGGAAATGCCTATTCCCATGGTAAAGAGAATAAACCATACCGTGGAATTCTATTCCTTGCAGTAAAAACCAAACCAAACAACAAAATAGACCTATTCCACAGAATAACATTTCATTCCCGATATATTCCATAACCCAAACATCACATTGGTGATTTTTTTTTATTAAGTTAATTTGCTTATATAAAAAGTAAACAAGCAATGACTCCCACACATCTAGTCAAATAGTTTTCAATAGAATCTCCATAAATATAATACCATAAAGAGCAAAAAATTAAAATTAAAATTAAAATTACTCACTATAAAGACAATTCACTCATATGCTTTGGGAATATTGAAATAAGCTCATTTTGTTTATAAAAGTCATCATGGACAACACATTAACAAAAGAAAAGGTTAAAACCACAAACCTGGGATGGCACCAAATCTTTTAGTAGTATTAATTATCTCTTTATTCTGCTTCATCTGCAAGCATTTAATTTAAGCATCATGTCATAGAACACTGAAATCCAAACTATATATTGTGCAAATCCATTCATATAACACAAAGCAAACATCAAAGGAAAAGTTCCCAAAACAAAAAGCCACTGTTGCAAAAATCGGTCTAGGCTACTACCTAGGCACTAGGCGCCCCTAGGCCGTGGTGATTTCCCCTCTAGGTAGCCACCTAGCTGCCTATCTCGGCCAAGTTGGCGGCGAACTCAACGAAGTTAACTCGTCCAATTCGATCAAGTTAACTCATCCAACTCGGCTTTGCTAATTTTACTTCATTATATATATATATATATATATATATATATATGGGTTCTCATGCAGGTGACTACCTAAGATGCGGTTGTGGAGTGAGATGAGAGTGATTGATCTTATCAAGATCAACGTCCAGAATTAATAAGAATTAAAGAAAATGCGATAGCAATTTGGCCTTTTTGCATGTAAGTCAAATTTAAGGCTGTACGGTTTTCGTTCTTTAAGGTGCATGGTTTTGTGCTTAAAGTGCGTGGTTTTTGTAATGTGTGTCAGTTGTTGAAACTTAAATGGGTTGATCTAAACCTTTAGGTACGTGGTTTTTCTATCTTAAGGTGCATGGTTTGTGTGCTTAAGGTGCGTCAACTTAAGGCTTTAGGTGTGTGGTTTTCCTTCTTAGAGTGCGTTGTTTTCCTTCTTAAGGTGCGTTGGTCTAAAGATTTAGGTACGTGGTTTTCCTTCTTAAAGTGCGTTATTTTCCTTCTTAAGGTACTTTGTTCTTCTTAAAGTGCGCTATTTTTACTGTTTACATATGTCCCTAATTAATTATTCATTCAGGACCCAAACAATCAAAAACTTCACAAATTTTTCGAGTAAAAAAAACAAATAATAAATAAAACCATATCACTGTCAACTTTCACCATTAGAATCTCAACCCAAACGCAATCTAGTAATAGCAATGCTTTGATAGTTTAATTTATATTTCCAAATAACTTTGATGCTTATTTTGGTCAAAAATTTATGATAGCAATATAACAACAAATAGTGGAGTTGTTATCTTTGGAGTAAACTTGAAGAAGATGGATGCATTAATAGAAGACGCACTTTTTTTTTAGTTAGCCTCCTAGGGGCTAGGCATTACTCTACCGACCAACTAGTGCTTAGCGACTATTGCAACCATGCTTAAAGCACAAAGTCAAGCTGTAAAGCACAACTGCAATGGTCTGTCTAAAAAGGCAGTCACATTTGGATGTGCAATAAATAGGGAATTGTAGTAGGACTCTGAACACATGAGAACTGACTCCATCCATTATAATCTTACTATAAAGAGTATTGAACAACTAAGAAACACAATAGATGAGCAGATGAGACAAAGCATACACACAGTCACAAACTACGAAAAGGAGAGAGTACCTTAGAGACTGCTTTTAGATCAGGTCTCTTAGAAGGTCGTTTTGCATCATCTTCTCCAACAGCCTTATTTTTCTGCGCATACAATCAACCGCAAAGCATTTTACAACTTCAAGCATGACAAATAAGATTTCGATGTTGACAAAATTATACTGAACACATGAGAACTGCCTCCATCCATTATAATCTTACTATGAAGAGTATTGAACAACTAAGAAACAAAATAGATGAGCAGATGAGACAAAACATACACACAGGCACAAACTACGAAAATGAGAGAGTACCTTAGAGACTGTTTTTAGATCAGGTCTCTTAGAAGGTCGTTTTGCATCATCTTCTCCAACAGCCTTATTTTTCTGCCCATACAATCAACCGCAAAGGATTTTACAACTTCAAGCATGACAAATAAGATTTCGATGTTGACAAAATTATACTGACCTTTGAATTTTTAGTCTTCTTCTTCTCTGCTTCCAATTTCTTACACCTTATATCTTCCTCCTATGTACATCCCAGCCAACAAAGAAAATGGTGTGGTGTAGTAACAGAGGCCGTTAGAGTGTTGTGCAGCAATTATTTGGGTTTTGAAAAGCGGATCGAGTGTTGATATACCTGGATAAAGTGCAAATAATGCTTGTTGAAAAGCCGAATGGTCTCCGTCACCTTGAGAGAAGGGAGTTTCTCATTTCCGTCAATACTGGAAGCTAGATTGTAGCCGGCGCCACCGGAGGCAGCAGCTTGGGAGATGGAATCCGACGCGGTAGATCCGTCATTGGGCAGCTTTGGCTTTGGCTTTGGCTTTGATTTTGGCTTGGAACTGGGAGCTATATCCGTTTTTCTTCGCTTGTAAACCTTCCTGCTACTCTCATCATCCTCTAGCTCTGGGTCGGAACTCTGAGGAGGAGCTTTTTTCTCCAACATCTGGATTCTTGCACTCCTCCGCCTGCCCTCCATGCTAGTACACACTGAATTCAAATTTTGAATTAGGGTTTCTAGACAGTAAAATGAGGAGGAGAGGTATGCACTATGCACTATGAAGTAGAGGACTAGAGCGGACAGAAAGAGACAGCGCTACCAAAATTTTATACTCAAATGAAATTCATTTGGATTTTGGCAATATAATGCTCTTCATCTTCCCGCCTTTATTTTCCTCGTTATACGGAGCACCTTTTTTTTTGAATTATTTCACAACGTTAAAAACCAGCTATTATGACGATATTTTTCCTTTTTTATTCATTATTAAATTATTTTTATGTTTTTCATCAATAAGATTTTTTAAACAGTAAAAAATTAGAGAGTTGATTTTTATAAAATAGTGATTTTTTATTAGATTTTTTTCTGTAATTAATGATTTTTTTGTAAGACCCATCAAGAGAAAAAATGAAAAACAAAGGCATATGGTTGTGCGTGGAGCGTAAGAATGACCTAGTGTACACCTATTTTTAAACTTTTTCTACTTTTTTTAATTTAATGTCAGTCCTTTTTTCCCTTTTTTTATTGTCATCTACTCTCTTTCTTAATTGGCAGCTCAAAAACTTCCCAAAAAAATGGAGTTGGTTTTTATCAAATCTGGAGAGTGATTTTTGATTGAATTTTTCTTCTGCAATGAATGATTTTTTTTGTGGGGCCCGCAAAGAGATAAACAAGGAAAAACAAAGGGGTTGGGGGTGGAGTGCAAGAATTGCCTATTAGATGCGTATTTTTAAACTTTTTCTACTTTTTTAATTTAATGTCAATCTCTTTTTTCTCTTTTTTTCTTTCTTTTTTTCTTGCCATCATCTCTCTTTCCTAATTGACACTTCAAAAACCTCCTAAAAAATTAGAGCTAATGAGGTTGCTCTAAAAACTTAACAATTAAACTCTGTTTGGCACGCTTAGTTGAAAATTTAGTAACTAATAAGTTAATTAATTTAAATTAAAAACGTTTGGTCAAAATTAATTGTTCAATTAACTAATAAGTGTAAAAATAAATAAAAATAAAAATAAAAAGCATAAAAAGATAAATTAAGATGTTAGGATTATGATTAATGGGGGATAATAGTGTCATTTTTGTAAATAAATAAAGATTTAAACAAAAAAAGTTAAAAAACATGAGCTCATTTTGAAACGCTACTTTTATAGCATTTAAAAATAAGTTATTATTTTAACAGTGCTTAGTGCATCCCTAACCAATGAGAAAAATAAGTGAAAAAGGTGAGAAATGACAAGAAAACAAAGGGAGGGGAGCAAAGTTTTCTTTTTTTCGGAGAAAACCCATATCACCCGCCATGCATGGAGGGAATAGCATGTCTCCCAATAGTTATTGTATGGATCACGGTCTAAAAACGATGTCATTTTGCTTAGTTTTATTTTTCACACGCTCAGCTACAACATACATTTTTATAATTCATAATATACACTAGTATTTGTCTCCGTGCGATGCATGGGAAATATGTTGTAAAAATGGGTGTTTATTTCAAGATAAGTCAGAAGAATCAAGTGGGAACAATATATTTGCCATCGTACGATGCACGTCATAAAATTTAAATAACTTTATTGTTGATAATATTTTTAAAAAGAGTTAATACCTAATATAGTCCTTGAAGATTTGCATTTATCCGTGGATCTTAATAAGGGGAAGAAGCATGAACCATCCTAAATGGGATGAAGGATGAGAAATTACCATTAAGACTCTATTTCTAACAGTTAACTAACAGAATTTTTAACAAAAGACTAAAATTGTGTAAAATCATCAAAGTCGATGACTAAATTGAGCGCAAAAAGTCATTTAGGACTAAATTGAGTAAAACCAATATAGTCGATGACTATATTGGGTATTAATTCTTTAAAAAAATGATAAAATCAAACATTAATGATGAAATTTTATTTTGAAATGTATTTTTCTTTAGCAATACTAAATTGATTTTTATATTGAACATTATCACTTACTATTAACATATATATATATATATATATATATATATATATATATATATATATATATATATATATATATTATAAAGTATTGTGTTATTAGATACCACATGAGATAGTTATGAACAAATCGATACTATATTGTAACATAGTGAGTAGTACTAAAAAAAAAGATATCACATGAGATTTGAAAAAATTGACATTTATTCAATTCAAACTATATACAATAAATTATAAAATCAAATTATATACAATAAATAAAGGATTTTTTATTTTCTCATGAGAAAATATAAATGATATTTCAAAATTTCAACGTGAAATTTCAAAATTAGAAAAGTATGAATATTCATGCTCCTCTGCAACCATTTAATGAAATTGGATGTTGTTTAAGAAATTAAAGTTTATTATATATGAAAACATCAATGATTATTATGTGGTATTTAAATGATCTACAAAATAACATTTTTAAGAATAAAGCTTATTTTATAAATATTTGGATATTACATAAGATATAAATAATTAAATATATACAAAAAATTAAAAATTTGTTCAAATATTATAATTATTAGTAAGACACTTATGTGACGTACATATTAAAAATTTAAAATATTAAATTATACAATGTTATTAAAAACTATTAATGTTATTAAATTTTATATATATAAATGTGATATGAGTTTTATTCATTCATATATATAATTTTGTAATTTAATAATTATGTTGATTTGATAAGAATAATTATTAATATACTCCATAGATATTAAAGGTATATTTATCCTAAATAAACAATTACTAATCTAAATTAAATGTAAAATAATAACATTTATCCTTTTTTTAAGACAAATTTTTATACACACAGACAAAACCTAACCCTATAATATATATGTATATAGATTATTATTATTATTATTATTATTATTATTATTATATATAGTAATAGTAATTATAGTAATAATAATTGGCTAATAAGATAATTTCGCGTTTCTGTGTTGTTATTAAGGCTAGTTTTACGTTTTGTATTAAGGATTGATTTAATTAAGATTAATTTAATTTAAATAATTTAATTACGGATGATTGAATTTAATTTAGGATGATTTAATTTAATTAAGGATAATTATTTGTAATACTAAATATATAGGCTGATTTAATTTAAATGATTTAATTAAGGATGATCTAATTTAATTAAGAATAATTATTTGTAATACTAAATATATAGGTTGATTTAATTAAGAATGATCATTTATAATACTATAAATAAATAAATAAATAAATAAATAAATATATATATATATATATATATATATATATATATATATATATATATATATGGTGATTTAATTTAAATAATTTAATTTAATTAAAATACTATACTATAATAACGAATTATTATTAATATAATAAGTACTATAATAATAATAATATTATTATTATTTATAAATTTGGCTAATTCGTTATATAGTATATTATTATTATTATTATTATTATTATTATTATTATTATTATTATTATTATTATTATTATAGCAAATTATAATAAATAGAGATTATAGTAATAATAATTCGTTAAGGCTAATAGGATACATGATTCCGCGTTTTTGTATGTGAAAAATTCGTTCTGTATGTGAATTATTATTATTATAATAATTACTAATCTATATATATATATATATATATATATATATATATATATATATATATATATATATATATAATAGTAATTGATATTATATTTTTCTTTTACTCAACATGTTAAATTACATGAATTATATAAATCTATTTATAAATTAATATGAATACAATAAATGTTTTCACATTTGAAGAATTTTTTTGGGGAATTATATGAATTTATTTATAAATTAATATGAATACAATAAATGTTTTCACATTTGTGAAGCATATATTATACTATTGTATTCACATGCATGATTCCGCATTTTTGTATATGAAAAATTCGTTCTATATGTAAATTATTATTACTATAATAATTACTATAATATATATATATATATATATATATATATATATATATATATATTATAATAATAGTAAATGGTATTATATATTTTTTGTACTCAACATGTTAAATTACATGAATTACATGAATCAATTATAAATTAATATGAATAGAATAAATATTTTCACATTTGGAGGGAAAATTTAATGGAATTACATGAATCTATTTATAAATTAATATGAATACAGTAAATGTTTTCACATTTGGAGGGAAAATTTATGGGAATTACATGAATCTATTTATAAATTAATATGAATACAATAAATGTTTTCACATTTGGAGGAAAATTTTGTGGGACAATTATTTTGCATTAATATATATACAGATAGAGATAGATATATAGAGATAGAGTTATTATTATTATTATTATTATTATTATTATTATTATTATTATTATTATTATTATTATTATTATTATCACTATTATAGTAAGAGTAATTATAGTAATAATAATTGGCTAATAGGATGGTATCCGGGTTGGATTTCCATTTGGAAGGTTGTGAGTTCAAGTCTCAGTGAATGCGTTATTGGTTCTTTGCTACAATGTAATGTAATAGGGCCTTATAAAGGTCGATTTAATTTAAATAATTTAATTTAATTAAGAAGGGTTATTTGTAATACTAAATATATAGGCTGATTTAATTTAAATAATTTAATTAAAGATGATTTAATTTAATTAAGACTGATCTAATTTAATTAAGAATGATTATTTATAATATTAAATATATAGATTGATTTAATTTAATTAAAATACTACACTATAATAACGAATTATTATTACTATAATAATAATAATAATAATAATAATAATAATAATAATAATATTACTATTATTATAGTAAATTATATTAAATTTTGATTATAGTAATAATAATTCGTTAAGACTAATAGGATGCATGATTCCGTGTTTTTGTATGTGACAAATTCGTTCTGTATGTGAATTATTATTATTATTATTATAATAATCACTATAATCTATATATATATATATATATATATATATATATATATATGTATATATATATAAAATAGTAATTGATATTATTTTTTTCTTTTACTCAACATATTAAATTACATGAATTATATGAATCTATTTATAAATTAATATGAATACAATAAATGTTTTCACATTTGAAGGAATT